GTGCCTGTTGTCGCTTTCCACCAATGGGGTGGCTTCATAATTCAAACATCTTTATCTTCAGCTTTATCTTTTGCACATACATATACATTACCTCTTTTTGATCATCTTTGTTGATTGCTTGACCTGTTTGTTTGTTATATTAATGCTGTCTGAGGTTTCTGGCCCTCTTTGGGCTAGCTTCTTCCCTTGGATTTTTCATCCTCTGGGGAGTTGACCTATTTTTTTGAACCTGTGCAGCTTGTAAGTTCCAAGATGGCTCCAGGACTTCCTGATTTCTGTATTCAATCACTTCTGTCCTCAGCATATTTTTGCCTTGAATTTCCGGTCAAGGTCGTCTTTCCTTTGTTAAGGATGACATTACCAATTTTAAACCCTTAGGCTCTTAATAGTTGAGCCAGATAGGGTGGGCTTCACTTTAGGTTGCTTTGACCTTGGTGAGTAGCCTCTTTAATTGGCGAGACTTGTGAGCCTCTCCGGTGCAAAGTTAATTCCTTCAATTTCATCTTTAGCCTTTTAAGATCAGTCTTAACCTTGAGAAAGCTTGTCTTTTCCCGTTTGAGGAAATTTGACTTCGTTTGTAAGGCTGTTTAACCTTGAGAAAGATTGTTTTGTCCCCACTCTTGTCTTTAGCAAGACTAAGTTGAGCTTTTGGAAGTTAGATGAGTTTGAAATCTATACTTTGTCTTTTTGCGAGTACCAATTAGGCATAACCTTTACTTTTTGGGGGCTGGTTAAGAAACCTTCGCAAGTAATGCAGAAAGGACATATGTGAAAGAAAACTGAAAGAAATCACTTTTAGAAAAGACTACACACTTACTGGTAGAATCTCATCAGGTGCGCAAAATTCCATACCCAGCGGTCTGATCCACCAATTGGTCTATGCTTGTCAGAGGGAAAGGGTCTATCGAGCATGCCTTGCTCAGATCCGTGTAGTCTACACACATCCTCCAGATTGGCGGCTTGAGGGCCAAGACTACGTTGGCAAGCCACTCTCGATATTTCACTACTCGTATATGCTCGATGCTTAATAGCATGCCAACCTCGCTCTCCCTTAACAAACTCTTTCCTGTCTAAGGGCAGATACCTTCGTTTTTGTTTCACGGGTGCAGCTTTGGGATCTACCTTCAGCCTGTGAATTGCTACGTCTGGGATCAACCCGGGCATATACTCTGGTCCCCCAGCAAAGATCACTTGTCTTTTGCCGAGGGAAAGTGCGCATTATGCCGATCTGAGAGGCGATCAGAAGAGGATTACCTGCACCGGTCTTCGAATAAGCAACGATCGCCATCCAGGAGGAGGATGACAGAGACCGGTCTTCTCAAGTGCCAAGTGTGTCATGGCTTATGCTCGTTGGGTATGAGCTCACCATCGTATGGCATGAGCTCGGCTTTGTCGGGAGTGAGCTCGAGCTCGTCGCGAATGAGCTTGGGCTCGACAGGAATGACCTTCAGCATTGACCTCGGGTTCGTCAGGATTGAGCATTGGTTCGGCGGGGATGAGATCAGGCTCGGCAGCATTGAGCTTAGGCTCGTCGGGAATGAGCTCGAGCTCGGCAGGAATGACCTTCAGCATTGACCTCGGGCTCGTCAAGATTGAGCTTGGGCTCGGCGGGGATGAGATCGGGCTCGGCAGCATTGAGCTTAGGCTGATTGGGAATGAGCTCGGGCTCGGTCTAGTATGAGCTCAGCCTCATCCATGCTCTTGGGTTCATCGATTCTCTCTCGTTCCTCCTTGCGTTCCTTGAGATAAGAAGTCTCACATTCCTTAAAGCGAGTGAAGACGACATGAAGAGGAGTAAACATTCATAATTCAGTTGTATTTAGCTCCCGGAAATATTAGTGATGCTAAGACTAGATGATTCATATGTGCTGAACAAGCTTGGCCTATTTAATATCGAACGTTGAAGCTGGTTTGAAACCAATTATCTATTAAGGGTCTGACAACTTGTCTCCCCTCTTGCCTTCTTCTTGACCAAAAGAAAAGCTTTCTCCGCTGGACATGAGCCGGAGCCGGTAAGAGAATAGAGAACAAATGTTGACTGAGTCATCAACTTTCTTTTCTTCAGCATAAAAAATGCATATTAATCAATAAAAATAATAATAATAATAATAATAATAATAATAATAATAATAATAATAATATAGTTCAACTCATCGCTCGGGCTATGTAGTTTGAATTTGATACTCGGGATGACTAGCCCCCGAGGTCAAAGTGATACTATATCAATTATATTTTTTATTATGATTTTATAATATCTTTTTTTCAAACTTATTTTTGGAATTTAATAAATGAGGAGTTTTTTAGGTACTTAGCTTTTGAGTGGACTGTTTTGAACAAAACTTGGGGCAGAAGTTTTTTTTTTGTTGATGGGCGGCCCACTTGATTTAGTTATAGTTGGGCTATATGTGTGTGCCTGGCCCACTGCTCTATGACATGCTGGTTTTGCTTTTGATATAGGGGCAGACTTTTGCTTGGTCAGAACAGTTGCCGCGCACTTCGAGAGCTAGTGTCGACGGCGAGAAAACGTGGCGAATATCACCGGTCAAGTTACCGAGTTCACCATGGCAGATTGAAGCGTCGATTTCCTTAGAGCACTGTCGCGGATAACCGCTACAGCAAGCTTCCAGATCCGCTAGGCCGCCATTAATGGCGAAAAAACTAAGCATGAGCGGCAAGGTCGATGAGTAAGGAGGTAAGTGACCGGCACTGCCCACTTGAAGGTGATATCGGCGACCGGTGACCACAATAGTACTGATGAAGCCGGCGCGCGGTGACCTCATCGACGAAGGAGACCCGCAGGCGGCGGAGGTGACCTCACTGCTGGTGATGACCGGCGTGGCGGGCGAGCGTGAAAAGTGCGACCTCAGGCGCCCCAACCAGCAGGAACCAGCAGTTTTCTCATGTTGCGTCAGATGCGAGTCGGATGAGTGAGCGGCAGCAGGCTAGGCTCAGCAGCGCGAAAGGTTGTAGTTCTCACAAAGCCACTGGTCACCTGGCTTGGTATAATTCGGTCACATGCCGGCCCCTTGTTGCTTGCTAGACCAGATTCTTCCGTTTCCAGATTTTTTTGCATTTTACAGAATTGTTTTGACTGATTTCTTGTATTTTGGATGAATTTTTGGATGTTTTTGGAAGGATTTCTCACTTCATTTTGCTCAAGCTCTCAATGAAAGCACCATCAATGGAATATAATTCCTTAATAAATCAAACATTCATGAATCATAGAAGAGAAAATAATAGTTGTATTATTAATTGAGAAAGGTTCTCTCTTTACAAGAGATGTACATGAGTATTTCTATGTATAGTATTGTACAATTAATATGAGACTTAATTATTGTAAATAATGAGTCTTCAATGTCTCCTTTGTGCCCATGACTCTTCTAAGTCCTAGGAATATCCCGGCCTCACTAGAACTCCGCTCAGGCTCGAGGTCTGTTGTCCAGTCTGACCTGTTTGTGGGTTCCAGTGACTCGTTCGTGAACCTTAGGAAGAGTTTGACCTCCACGGGCTGACCACTGAGCTTGGCGCCTGCAGTCCAGGTCAGCTTAGGCGTGGTCAACCTCATAGTGGATTTGGATCTCCCTGTCAGGCCTAGGGCGCCCATCGGCTAATTAATATTAATCCCTTGAAGGGTTGATCCCGTTGAATCGTTGATGGGCTGATCCCGTTGATGGGCTTTGCTTTGATTCAATCTTGGGCCATGTTAATGATCCCGATGATATATTTGAACCAAACTTTATACATATATTATAGGCAGAATAAAATCTATATAAATAGGCAGAAACATAAATAAACATTAACCAATAAAATCTTAAAAGTTATCAACAAAAAGCCAACAAATCTATCTCATGCAATAATAAGAAGTACTACGTGATAAATACTCCCTAGTAGTTATTAGAGCAATAAAAAATTGAAAATTGAACTTTACTTTTTTATTATTTGGCATTTTAAAGCTATGTGGTTTTTAGTTTTACTTGTTACCGAAAATATATATAATTATGATTTTGGAAGCTTTATGATTATTTTGTGTGCCCTCTTTAGTGATTTTTTATATATATTTTGATGTGAAAGATAGTCATCGCTTCTACTTTCTTTTTCCATCCTTTTTTCGCCACTTGACCTTAAATCCTGTTAATGACTTTTCATGAAAGCGTATCATGTGTATCCCCTAATCTAATAAATGGCCATAGTATATATTGTCCCTAAAGCTGATGTTATTTGATTTTTAACACAATAGCTTCATCTCATAAGCCGATGATTTCCACGCGTTTTAGAACACTCTTTAAAAGATATCATCACTGTTTTCCATATCCTTTTTATTTTTTGCTATTTGAGTGTAAACTCATATGGTGACATCTCGTTGAAGTGTATAGTGTGTATCCTATTTGATTTACAACCATAGTTTCGTACATTTAAGAACACTCTAAAAGAAATTCATCGCAGCTATTTTCTTTTTTCATCTCTTTTTCTTTTCATTTGAAAGTAATTTTCGTTGATGACATCTAATTAAAGTACCATTTTTGGAGTATATCCCATCCCATTCATTGTTATAAAACCCTATATATAACAACGAGTCATTAACATTTCAAAGATTAGAGAAAAAGATGATGTGAAAATTGATGATCAAGAAAAAGGGAAAAAGGAGAAGAAAAAGGAAGAATAAAAAGAAAATAAAAATTGAAATAAAAAATAAAGAAAATAATACCGATTAGGGAGGGACAAAGATATTTAATAAAAGAGAGAATTCCCTAAATAGGAGTAAAAAAGTTTTGAAATTCCAAAATAAGAGTATCATGTTTTTTATTCTTTGAATAAGAGTAAATTTCTGCCAAGTTTGACATTACTAGGCTTTAAAACATGGAATTTTTTTCCAAACTTGGCAGATTACTCCTATTCAGAGAATAAAAAACATGATATTCCTATTCTGGAATTTCAAAACGTTTTTGCTCCTATTTAGAGCAATTTCTATAAATAAAAATAGATTTAATTGAATAATAATACAAAAAAGGGAAATAGAAGTAAAAATAGGGGCGCAAAAGAAGAAGAAGAAATGAAAACAAATGAAGGGGAATCCTGTACAAAAAAGCTTTTATGATATGGCGGAAAGGATACATAAACAGAGAAAATAAATAAAATTAACAAAAAATGAAAGAAAAATGGAAAAAGATGCATCGAGAAGATTAAAAAAAAAAAGAGAGAACTTCTAGTGAGAGAGGAAAAAATACGAGATTGTTTTGAGAAGATAGGTGATCGAAATATTAGTCATCAAACGTTTAGGGTTAGCAAAAGAAGATGGAGTGAAAATGTGAACCTAAATGTGTAGTATTAGTATATTGCTAAAGGAAAAATCAAGTAAAAAACAGCAATACTTTTTATAAAATCCAAAAAAGAGATCAATATGACTTTTACAATCTTACAATTTACAAATGTTACTAGTGCCACTGAATCCAATGCCTTAGTGACCAATTTTCTCTAGCACATTGACCCCGTGCCACAGTGTCACTTTATCGAGTCCTAATTGTCGATGTCACCGAATTAAAATTGTAAACGCCACAATCGATCGAAACCCTAACCACTCAAATCTGAAACCAAATCCCTGTAGCCGAAGAAGAGAGTTATTGTCATCACCGCCAAAGAGATCTCTCACTGCCAACGTCAAATAATTATGTCATCTTCGTAGGAGCATTGCAAAAGTGTGTCGAAGAGATCTCTCGCTACCGCCCACCCTGAATGCCCCTAACCATCGCTCTCATCACCCAACCCTGTCCACCTCAAACAAGGCTACCAATGACACTAAGTCTCCACTGTCGACTCAATGGCACGAAGTGATTCATCATGCTCAAACAAGAAGGTTAAGGATGTGCGACAGCAGCGGCGACAACTTGAGATGGAGGAAGCAGTGGCAGACCCGCAACTCCGCAAGGGGAAGGCTACAAGAGAAGGGAGATGAGCCTGATCGGCTGGAGGCCGGAGGAGAGCCAATAGAAAGGGAGGACAAAATTATGGATATTCCAATCATTTGAACTCTAAAGTGGTCTTTTTGTGTAGATAAAGAAGTAGTCTTATTTTTGTCCAATCAAAACTTGGAAGTAATATATTTGTAATTTTTCTTTACATTATAAGGCTTTTCTTATTTTTTTTAAATGTTCATTTTCTTTAGAGGTAGTTTTCAAGTGTGTAGAATTTAATTTAAGATTAAGGGGGGTTGGTTAGGGCTTATAATTTAAGGATTAAGGTCTCTTATTACAAAGAATGCTTGACCAAATCTATTTTTGAAAGAAAAAGAACATTATACGCTTTCTTTATTGAGTTGTCTCAAAAAAAATTGAGCAAAACATCACTAACGTTTTTACTTTCTCAATTTCTCTTTTATCTATCATTTCACTTTTTATGTACCTATACTACTTTTTTCCGAGTGTCAAACTCATTTATTTTCTTAAAACTCATGACATACTCAAACGTATCTTCCATTATAGGCCAGGAGAAGTGTTATATTTGCTTTAAGCTTATTTGTAAAAATAATCACTAAGAATTGTTGAGGAACATGTGCTTAAGATCCACCAAAGTGGAAAACCTTTAACAGAAAGGTTTTAACAGCAAGGTTTCACATTTCGAGATGGTCAAATTGGCCACTCCTGTCCGGCTGTCCCTGTCGGGAGAGATACCAAACTTCTACGAACACGATGCTCCCAGGTTACGCTATGGGTTTCCTCAACTTCAACCCCAAAAAAAGTGTAACAGCTCCTACGCACCTTGATGGCTTGATTACAAACACAACCAAAGTACAACAACACTCTATGCTAACTTAACAATGTTAATCCAGGTAAATAATACAAAACCGTAGTTTATTGGGAAAGCACAGTTTGTGAAAGGTTTTTGTACATATATAGATGAAGCTCTACCTTTGTTTTATAGAACCAAAAAGTTCGGGGAATGAGCGCTTAGGAGAATCAGTAGTAGCAACTATCTCCACTACTTTGTAGTGAGATTCTGGATGCAGCAATGCCTCAACTGCAACTTCGGCGACCTGATCTCTTGAAATTGAACCTCCAAAGAGTGTATCCTGCCATTTATCCACAAGTCACTTGAATCTCAAATGAAGTACCAAATACATATGAATATACTTTGACCTGTTTGGCAAGGGAGCTTTTGGTTGAAATGCCTAAATTTGCTAAAATAGTACCACATTGTTGTTGATATGAGTCGATCTGATAAAGAAGACTACCCTAAAATCTTGTGTTATATCATATTTAGCCGATGGGGCCCACATCATGGCTACATAATAGATTGAATCCTATACCATATTAACATTTGGGAAAGTCTGAGATCTTACTACATACGTGGTATTGTTTTATCATTTCACATTTAACTGATGTAGAACAAACTCTTCAACAACATATGTTTGTTCTAAATAAAATAATATCTAAAAAACAAGACCAGAAATTCCATTTACTTTTATCTCAACCAAAAAAATCAACTTTTGCACTATGTGTCTTGTTAACCAATTCATCGAGCATAGTGAAAAAAGTTCATGTTAGGTAGAAATAACTTGGCTGACAAGTGTTATGAGAAGTAAAAGTACTTGTTTATATAAGGATTACAAAAACATATTGTGATTACGAACCTTTCTCCTTGAAAAAGTAAAAAAAAAAATGTATTTCTATCAAACAAGGACTTCAGCTGTAAACTACTATTACCTCAGGCTCCATGACTATATTTCCATTTGGAGGATTGTTTCTTAAACCACCAGGCCTTACAATGGTGTAATTGATTCCAGATCTCCTTATGTATTTCTCTGCTTGTAGCTTGGCAATCAACACCAAACCAAACACATTCAGTATCAGGTATGATGGGTTGAGCAACTGGCCCATTGCAGCTCCATTAACTAGGATAGAACTGATCAGGATGAATCTATCCACACCGCGTTTTCTGCATGCATCCACAAGGTTTACTGTTCCAAAGTTATCCACCTGCACAGATACAAGGAATAATACCACAAATAATGAAGTCGTTTGAAGAAGACTGATTGGTATGATCATTGGGGAATATGTGCAGTGGTACCTTGAAGATTGATTGGTGTCGTCACTGCTGATAAGTGCAGTGTTTAATATTTTGCATTCTAATAGAAACAACCGTTAGGTCTTATCATCCAGTTTAAAAGGTCTCAGTCCGAGAAAAAACATCCCCAGTCCTTGTAAATGTATTACGCAGTACTTAAAAAGAATAGAGTACTGACATATATATGTATGTGTGTCCAGATAAATGATCTCCTCAGGCGGTCCACACGGGAACCGCCGTCGGCCAAGGCCATTTGGGGTTCTTTCCGATGAAATTTTTTGAAGAAATTTTATGAGCATGTTCTTCATCAAGTGTAGATTATCTCCACAAAATTTCATCTTAAAATTCAATCGAGAGTTTATTTACATAAATTATTGAAACATACTACGCTTTATGTATATATACATATAAAGCGAAGTATGTTGAATTTTAATCTGAAATTAATTTTGTGGGCATGAACTACATTTCATGAATAACATGCTCAAAACATTTCATCAAAAATTCCATCAAGAAGGGCCCCAAATGGCCTTGGCCGGACGGGAGTTCCCGTCAGGCGATCTGCACCAGATCTGTACTCTGTGTGTCCATACTAACATATATGTGTGCCCATACATTTCGCCGGTGGGTTCGCTACTCCCATTTAATAGAGTTTAGAGGAAGAGTGAATTGCAGACTAAAATTGCATACTTTATTCTCAGGCATGTATTGGTGTTTATACAATCATTGGGAGCCTAAGTAATAATTATAATACTAATTACAAGGATATGTAACGGTTAAAACTGAAATTGTAATAATTGAGAATATTATAAATTAATATTTTCTGGATTCTTCTACACGCCCCCGCAAGCCAGGTATTCTGTCACTCCCAAGAATCCTGAGTTTGTCTCTTAGTAGAGTAAAACGTTGCCTTGAGAGTGGTTTGGTAAGGGCATCAGCTAACTGATCATGAGAGGAGATGTGAAGAACACAAAGAAGCCCACGTTGCACACGTTGTCGGACAAAATGAAAGTCGATGGCAACATGTTTCATCCTAGAATGGAAAACCGGATTTGCTGAAGAAGTTGTAGCGCCTTTGTTATCACAAAGTAGGAGCGGGGAAGAGGGAGGCGGATGTCGGAGTTCATGAAGAAGAGACTCAATCCAAAGAATTTCTGATGCAGCAGTAGAGAGAGCCCGATACTCCGCTTCTGTAGATGATTTAGCAATGGTTCGTTGTGTAATGGACTTCCAGGAAACAAGTGATTCACCAAGAAAAATGGCATATGCGCTAGTTGAGGAGCGATCGTCGGGATTCCCTGCCCAGTCTACATCGGCATAAGCATGTAGGGAAAGAGATGAACTGCGGCGGAGATAGAGACCATAAGAACTAGTGCCTTGAAGGTACCGTAATAGGCGTTTGATATGTTGCCAATGAGTAACCGTTGGTTTGTGCATAAATTGAGCAAGTTTGTTGACAGCGAAGGCAACACCGGGTCTTGTGAGACTCAAATATTGAAGTGATCCAATGACCTGACGATAGAGAATCACATCGCAAGACCCCGAACTATCAAACAGGGTTAAGGATGCCGAGGAAGCCAAGGGTGTGGATACCGGTTTTGCCTCATCCATTTTTAACATACGTAATAAATCAGTAATGTATTTGTGTTGGTCAAGAAAGAGCCCATTTTGTGTTGGAGTGACCTGCCTAGAAAATAATGTAAGGATCCCAAATCCTTAATAGAGAATTTTTGCGCTAATGAATCAATAGTCCGACGAACCAAAGTATGAGTGGAACCAGTAACAATAATATCGTCCACATACACCAACACATAGATATAAGATTGATGTGAAGAGAGTATGAAGAGACTCGCATCCGACACAGATTGATGAAATCCAAGGGAAAGAACTAACCCACTTAAAGATTGATACCACACCCGGGGTGCTTGTTTGAGACCATAGATAGATTTACGAAGACGACAAACAGATCCGGAACCATCATTGAAACCAGGAGGTTGTCTCATGTATACTTCCTCGTGAAGAGTCTCATGCAAAAAGGCATCATTAACATCAAGCTGATGGATCGGCCAACCATGAGAAAGAGCAATAGTCAGGACAACTCGAATGGTGACCGGTTTGACCACTGGGCTGAAAGTTTCAGAATAATCAACTCCTGGGCGCTAATGAAAGCCCTTAGCAACCAACCGAGCTTTGAAACGATCCAAGGAACCATCTGGCTTGTACTTCACAGTATAAACCCATTTGCAACCAACAACATTTTGATCAGGACAAGCTGGAACAAGATCTCAAGTTCCCTGTTTAACCAAGGCTTCAAATTCTGCTGACATAGCATCCTTCCATTCTGGAAACTGTAAAGCCTGAGAAGCATAAGTAGAAATAATATGATGAGGTAAGGCGGATTGAGTGGCGAGATTAGCTTGTTTACGAGGACGAAGGGTCATGGGATGAGTACGTTTGGGAGGGGAATTGGTCGGGGTGATAGTAGGTGGTTCATTGAGTGAATTGTGAGGGAATAGTGGGGTAGATGGTTTTTGCTAAGACCGACGTTGATAGGTGATGATAGCAGGTGGATTGTGTGGAGGTGGGGTGTGGGGGGCGACGTATTACAGGTAGAGATTGAACTATCGGGAGTGCTTTGCTAAGTCGGAGTATGAGAAATAGGAGATGCCTTCGCCGCTGGTGTACCTGAAAGAGGAAGATAAGAAATAGGCGTTTGAAGCCAATTATCAATCTCCGAGGAGAGATTAGTAACAGGTGTTATGGTCTGAGAGAAGGGAAAAACAGACTCATTGAATATTACATGCCTGCTAATAAAAATATGATGGGTAGCTGGGTCAAGACATCGATATGCACTCTGCTGATCACAATATCCTATAAAAATACACGGTTTGGACTGAGATTCAAATTTGTGAGTTGTGTAAGGACGCAACCACGGAAAGCATTGACACCCAAAAATAGCAAGTTTTGTGTTATGAGGTGGTTTTTGAAAAAGCTTTTCAAATGGAGTACAGAAATTGAGAGATGTTGTAGGTTGTCTATTAATAAGATACACTGCAGTTTGAAAAGCATAAGGCCAATATTTAAATGGCATGGATGCATGATGAAGTAAAGTGATCCCTGTTTCAACAATATGACGATGTCGTCGTTCAGCGAAACCATTATGTTCCGGAGTATAGTGAGGGGTTAATAAATGGGAAATACCACAACAACTCCGGAATTTCCCTAGAGTCACATACTCACCTCCCCCATCGGAGTAAACCATTTTAATATTTTTTTGAAAAAAAGTTTTCTACAATTTTCTTAAATTGTTGAAAAATTGAGATTACTTCAAACTTGTGGTTAATGAGATAAAACCAAATGTATTTGGTATTGAGATTACGTTTAGTAATGAAGGAATCGGTACATCCGGCAGACGTTAGACATCTCCATTATTCATACCCTGTAACAAAATTGCTCCCGTTCGCCGGTCCTTTACAAAACAGAAAGTAGGGTGAAATTCAATTAGCACATCGTTATCACGACATAATTTGGCAACGGAAATTTAATTAGTATGAATTGAATGAACAGAAAAAAGTATTAGGTAAGGAAAGAGAATGAATATTCATATTTCCAACTTGTGCAATCTCAAGACCTTTACCGTTACCAATAACGAGGGAGTCTATGCCAGTATAATCTGAAGCCAAGGTGAGGTTATTGAGATTATTGGTGACATGATTCGAGGCTCCAGAGTCGAGCAACAACCCATTTCTATTGGTCACCACAGTATTGGCTTGAGGAGGGTAATTTTGTTGTTCAAATCGGTGCCAACAGTTAAGAGCGAGATGATTTGGTTTGCCACATATTTGGCATATAATTGTACCTCTAGAATCATTATTGCTCCTGAAATTGTTTCTTCCTCCCATATTATTACCTCCGGAATTATTATTTCCATGTCGGTTTGGGTTGTGAAAATTATTGGGCCCCTGGTTTCAGTTATGGCCCCTGGTGTTATTTAACATATTGGTATTGAGCCCGTTAAATTGTCTTTGAAGTTGTGATGCTGGTCCTGGGCCCAAAAAATGAAAATGAAGAAAGTGGAAAGAGAACAAAAAATGAAGAGAGAAAAGGAAAACTTGGAGATAGCAGTTTATCTTTAGATTTTAAATTAAGAGAAAACGGGGTGGGTAGTGGGGGAAGATTTGCCGGGAAGAAAAAAACATGGGTTACCACGAAAGCCTAGTCCACGCATAAACAAAATGCCATTCAATGACTGACACTCTTCAAGTGAGGCAACAAGCCATGGTGAGCATTATCCACCGCCTGGACCCCTAAGCATCGCCATGGCTATGCCATGAAACCCCTCCTTATTAGTTGTGAAAACAAAGTCATGAGTGCCCGATCAAGTGGGACCAATGACTTTATTTCCACGTTTGGTAACGCGTGCACGTTAAAGTTTGCACACATGGTCTCCTTATAAGTGGTTTTTACTTGGGAAAGTTCCCGAAATAGGCCTAAAAGAGTTTGAGAATTCCAAAATAGGACTGTCATGTTTTTGGAATAAAAAACATGACAGTCCTATTTTGGAATTTTCAAACTATTTTAGTACTATTTCGGGTAATATTCTCTTTTTACTTTGATATCATAAGATATTTATGATCTAATATAGTATTTCATAATAAAAAAATGTATGTTCGGACCTTAGTTTTAAAAAGCGCGCCTGAGGCGCACAAAGGCGCGAGGCGCATAAAGGCGAAGAAGTCATCGCCTTTTACATAGCCAGGCGGCTTAGGGTTTACGAGGCGTGCGCTTCTCTCGCTTATTTGCGCCTTTCTCGCTTCTGAGAGGCGAGCACCTTAGCCGCCTCATGGATTCTGGCGATTACCGTTCCTTGGCGTGCGCTTCCCTCACTCCATCAAACTCCAAACCTCCAAGTCTCTCTAGTCTTCTTCCTTACTTCTGCTTTTGGTAATTTGGTCTTCGGATATATCTGCCTATCTGCGTAACTCTGCCCCTTCCGACTTTCTCTGCTTCCGATCTTGCGCTTCTGCCTTCTATCACGCGTAAGTCTGCTTCCGGTCTTGCAGAGCCGCAGAGGTAAGTCTGCTTATTTTTTTATCTTCTTTTATTTATTCTCTTTTATTTTAAGTTGTTTTATTTATAAAAATATTAAAATTATTTGAATAAAAAGTTAGATAACTGACCGTACGTAGTTATTAATTTTACAGAATTGTATATAAACGTCAGTCAGATTATTAACTATGAATAAAAATATATTTTAAGTTTTTATCTTCTAACACTAAATTATTTGAATAAAAAGTCAGATTCTGACCATACATCTGTGTGTAATTAATTTTACAGAATTGTATTTGAGTGATAGTTTATTAATTAAATATGTATTATTTTATAGTATATTACAATTGCATAACAATGATAATATCATAATACTATATAATATATATTTTAGTGTTAGAACACTGATTTATTAACAATGTATTGCAAAAAATGACAGTTTTTATTATTAACATTTTTTAACAAATTTTTATATAATAGCTTATTACAATAATTATTTAAATTACTATTAAGTATTAACAGTTTTTATATAACTTAATTATTTAATTTATCACAAAATGATTACTAATTTATCACAGTTTATTACATTAATTATTTAAATTACTATTAACAGTTTTTATACAACTTAATTAATATTTTGTTTCTCTTATGATGTTTATTAAGATTGTTTAATAGTTTGAAGTATTTTTGAGAAGAGTGCTTCATGTAGAAGTACTAAAAATATATTTAACGAGGGAAATGTGACTGAGATCCGTGATGCGCGCGCATCACCGCCTAGCGCCTCGCGCCTCGGGTAAATCAAAAAAACCGCCTCAAGGCGCCTCGTGCCTTTTAAAACCAAGGTTCGGACTGAAGTAGCATAGTAGATCAATGTCCTGAACTCCTGAACATATATTCAAAGTTAATACTACGTATAGTTTAGCTTGTGGAGTTGTTGATCATTATTAACCCAGCTTCACTTGTCGAAATAGAAATAAAAAACAATACCGGTTGTTGATTAAAATAAATGCTTCAGTTGAATGAAATAAGCATCACAAAGTATTAATCAGACTCTGACCTTCCATGGAGACAATAAATCCCAAGACGGCCGAAATCCTGTTGCACATATCACCGCATCTGAATCTTCACCTATGGCATCAGCTAATTTAGTACATTCCTCTGTTACATCAGCTTTTACCTGAAATTGAACCACTCAGAAAGCTGATGCTTTTGATACATTCTTCAATTTGATCAATGAAAATTACATCAAAACCAGAACATTCCAAGTATCAATTTATCAGCACTTTCTGTACATAGGTAAATTTGGTTGAAGTTGATGAATGAGCTCAATTTGCTGGACGGATGAAATAAAAGAAGAGGACCAATCCTTTTCTATCCTGATTTCAGTCCGGGCCAAACCCATAATAACTTCAATCAACATTAAATATACAGCAAGCAGTAGAATGTTGGAAGGAAAGTTAAAGAAACAAAATGAAACTCACAAATTGAAGATCAAGGTTGCTACTTGGTAAGCTTGTTTTAGCCTTTTCTATGTCTCGAACGCCTGCCTTAACGGCAAACCCCTTCCTCAAAAGCTGTTCAACTATCCTCCTTCCCGTGCTCCCGCTCGCCCCCGCAACAAATACTTTCTTCTTTTGTCTGCTACCCACTTCTTCTTCCACCTTAATTTCGACTCCCTCCATCTGTAATCAAGAAATTAGATATGTTTATATATATACACACACACACAATTAAAGAGCTTGGCAGTCAGTTGAATTGCCCGTGGAAAAGATATTTTTGGAACAATACAAAAAATTGAAAAGAGAGAGAGTACATTTGATGCTTTGAGAAGAAAGGAGCAACATTTAGAGTGAAGGAATGAGGGAGAGAGTGAATTGGCAGCGAAGGGGAAGGGTGGGAAGAGAGCGGTTGTGAAGAGACCAGGAGCTGCCATTCGCTACCAATAGCAATCATCATTATCCGTTTTAGTTTTTGTTAATGAAATTAGTTGATTCTCACCCGGTTAGAATATCATTTAATTTTTTCATAAAGAACGGTCAAATAAGTCCTCGAACTTTCATAAAAAATGCAAATAAGCCCTTTAAAGGAGGTTTTTTTCGGCCGTCATCATTTGGGCGGTTTTTGGTGGAATTTTTTGATGAAATTTTTTGAGTATCTTCTTCATTAAGTCTAGTTTGTTCATACTAAATTTCAGATAAAAATTCAATCGGAATATATTTCAGAAAATCATTTGACTGTCTTCCCGATTGAATTTTTATCTGCAATTTGGTATGAGTAAACTAGACTTAACGAAGAAGATGCTCAAAAGATTTCATCAAAAAATTCTACCGGAAACTGCCCGAAATGGCGACAGGCGGACAAAGCCTCCTGCAAAAGGGTGTATTTGCACTTTTTATGAAAGTTCAAGGACTTACTTGATAGTTCTTCCTTTTTTATACTCCCTCCGTCTCGAATTGAATTGCAAACTTTGACCGGCACAAGGATTAAGAAATGACAATAAATGATGCTTGTTTTTTACACTTTTGTTCATCTTTCTAAAAGTAGATGCCTTTAAGTTAATGAGTAAAAAGTAAAAGTAAGGATAAATTTGTCACTTTATTCTTATTTACATACCTAAAGTAGAAAGTGTAAAACCATTTTGGGACAACCAAAATAGGAAATTTTGCAAATCAAATTGGGAGGGAGAGAGTATAAAACTTCTTGATTTATTATAGTATGTGTTCTATATTAAGGTCAATATTTTTGAATTGGAATATGATTCAAACCTATAACCTCCTTGGTGTCACAGTGTCATCGGGCAATAAGATACTTGACTTGAAAAATTATTCTAATAATTTTCAAAAACAAATATAAAATTTAGAAAATAAGATGTGAATCAAAGGAGTATTCTTATTTTCTTCAAAATAAGATGCATTAGAGTTATTCTATAAAAAAGTAGTCAGAGTTTCTATTTTTTATAAACAAAACGAAATTTATAAAAAGAAGTGTAATCAAAGTACAATTACTAATTAGATAAGCAAGTGAAATAAAATGAAAGAAAGCAGCAGATAAAGGAACTAAAGCAAAATGACAGTTCAAGCCCTATAAACCCTTCAACAATGGAAACCCAAGGCAAGTGAGGGAGAGACAATTAGGGTATGTTTGGTTCAAGAAATGTCAGATTACCATGGGAAGGTCAGATTGGTGTGTATGTTATATTGATGGGAATGTATTCAATTGATTCCCATTTGTGTTTGGTTAACATCAAGGGAATGTGTCATAATTTATTTGGTTGAAAGTTATCTTATATTGCAGATACTCTTACTACGTATAACATAAATACCTTAACAAAATTTAAATGTTAAGGCAAAAAATATGCAAATAACAAGAATAGACATTCGAATATAATTAATACTCTGTCCATCCCACCTAAAAGGTTGTTACACAATTTACGATGTTCGACTGACCATGAAACTAACCGATCTCTGTCAATAATAAGATTATTTTTAGTAAATAAAATTTACATATTTAGACACCACATTAAAAGTTTTATAAAGTCGCAAAAAAATAAATTTGATAACAGTTGAATATATAAAAAATTAAATGAAAAGAGATAATTAATTGAAGGTATTTTCGGAAGAAAATTAGATCACCCCGGGAATGTGAGATAACCTAAGGCATGGATGGGTTTAACATTCCTCTCCATATAACATTCCCGGGAATTTAACTTTCCCGATTTTTGTTCAAACTCATGAACGAAACAAGAATATCTAACATTCCGTGCATCACATTCCGGCCTTCATGTGAGATTACCCCCAACCAAACGAGCCCTTGAAGGGAACGTATGAGGGGAGAATTTTGTTATATTCCATTACAAACTTATAGTCACGTCATTACATCCTCTAACAAACTTTGCACATGATACTAGAGAAGTTAACAGAATCTATATTCTATATAAATATAATAGATTCTTGCTCCAAAAACTGTTCACCGTAAGTTACCAACAAAGAAAGGGTTTAATGTACCAAATCCCCTGTGATATAGAAATTTGGCGCATTAGCCTCATGTGATTTAAAAAATGTGGTAAACTCCCTAGTGTTTTAATTAATTATGCGCAAAATCCCTTCTATGAACAAATTCAATTGTCAAATATAAGAAAAATGATTAACGTTTTTGTATGATTTAGAAATTTTGACATATTTACTTGCATATTCAATCAGAATATTAAGAAAAGTGATCTCAAAATCATTAAATTTAGTTATAAAGGGGGTCTGTGCATGATTAATTAAAACACAGAGAGGTTTGATGCATTTTTCAAATCACATGGGCTAATGCGTTGAATTTCAATATCAGGGGTTTGATGCATTAAGCTAACAAAGAAAGAAAAAATTCCACTTTTGGTCCCGTGACTATTATACCACTTCCACATTTAGTCTTTTACTTTCAGATTGTCCACATTTAGTCCGTGACCATTATCCTCTCACCACCTCTCGTCCTTCCGGCCAAATTTCGGGAAATTTAATGCAGATTTTAGGTATGAAAAACCAAATTTAACGCAAAGATTATATGAAAAACCCAACCTTATATAAAATTTAATGAAAAGAGTGATGATGGAGTATATGGCCCGGGAACCCCCGGCCCACAGACTCCTACTACTCCAATAAAGGCCCAACAGGCCCACAAAGCACAACAGGCCCAAATCACAGCGCCCAGAGTACCAAGCAGCCCACAATATGCACCAGGGGTGCCTTCGGCCCCCTGGCCGAAGGCTCTAATTCTCACAGGAGGGCCAAGACAGGAAAACAAGGTTACTGGGAAAAACGGCGAAAATCACTAGCCCTCGGCAACTGGAGCCCTCGGCACTAAGGGGGTCCCCGGTACTCAGAGCCCTCGGCTAGTCATCTACTACCGAGGGCGCCTTTTCCGACATAATATCCGCTCCACATGCGTATGGATCACCGTACCCTGTACAACGTCCCATCCAACAGCCGCATTAAATGCGGCCACATGCGGTTGCCAGCGCCAGCCAGTTGAGGTGACCTCTCGGCCAATGGACGCTTGACACGTGTCCCTGTCTGGCATTTATTGCTACTATAAATAGCACTCCATTTCCTCGTTGTAAACCACGTTGAAAACACTGAACACTTTCTAATATACTTTCTCTCTCTATACTTACTTGCTCTGACTTCTCTCTAGTTATTCTCCGTAATAACCCCTCGGATAAGCTACCCCCCGGGTACACTATCCACCATTTGGTGCTCTCGTTGAGAGGTTGAACAATCAAGTAAGATACCCTCCCCCTCGACCAAACACAAAACACCCATCTAAAATGGTGAGAACAACTCGTGCCAACTCCAAGAATGTAGAGGACAGGAACCTGGCCCTCGGCGAGGTCGACGTCCCCGAGGCCTCTAATAGGGCTCCCGGGGGCGGCGTCATCGCCTGGTTGGACCAGACGGCTGTCGACCTACGCCAGCAGATTCAACAAAATGCCCCCGATGCCCGCCTCGACATCGAGGCCAAGAAAAAGGACCGGAGCGAAAATCAAATTAGCCCTCCGGTCATCACCATCGACGTACAATCGGCGCTCTCCCAATGGGGAACTCCGACGCTCACCCAGAACCCGGCATCCAGACGCTCACCCAGAACCCGGGTGCCTTCGGCACTTTGATTCCCCTCCAACCTCAGGTGGGGGAGAATATTATGCCTCCCCCTCACCCACGACCCCTCGGCAACCCGGTCCTCCGAATGGGGAACTCTAAGGGGGTCGTGGCCCAAGATACGGCCTCCCAGGAAATCCAGTCCCGGGACCGCCACAACGTGAACAAGGAACAACTCCGGACCTCCGCCCTCGAGAGACTCGGAGGGGCGCAAGACCGCCGAGGGGTCCAAGACCGCCTCGGGGGGGAGGTGTTCCAAAGGCCTCAGGAAAGTGGCGGGTCCGTCTCCAGGGCCAATGAAAGGCGTCCCCCTCAGGACAAGGGCAAGGCACCTCTCCATGCCGACGACGCACGCCACCAAATCAACCAGGCCCACTCGGCCCGAGTCCATTCGCAAGGGGAGGAGGCCCTCCCGAAGGACCCCCAGGACGAAATCATTGCGGCCCTCCAGCGCCGGCTTGACGAGATGGAGGCCATCAGAGCCCAAGCCACCACTTCTGCCCCTCATACAGACCTTAAGTATGAGGCGATGATGGCCAAGATGGAAGAAATGCAGAGGAAGATAGCCGAGGGCTCCGGGGAACCCACCATACAGCTCCGGACCCCGGACGCCATTTACCCCAAGGGTATTGGCGGCCCGGATCCCGGAAAAATACTGAGGGCAGCTCATCAAGCCCTATGACGGAAAGACTGACCCCCAAGAGCACTACAGTAGGTATCAAAACAGCATGATGATGGTGGGGGCATCGGATGAATATTTGTGCCGCTGGTTCCTCTCCACCCTAGAGGGGCCAGCTTACGAATGGTTCAATCGATTGCCCGAGGGCTGCATTGACTCATGGCAAGAACTCGCCCAGCGATTCTTGACGCAATTTGCGGGGAGGCGCCGCACAAGAAAACACTTCTCCCACTTACTAACAGTGAGGCAGAAGAAGGAGGAGACCCTTCGGGACTTCCTGGAGCGCTGGAGGACGGATGCTGATAAAGTTGATGGCGCTGACGACGGGACCCTCATAGCCCTCCTACAAACAGTACTCCGCCCCGGGAACTTCTCAAGGAGCCTCATCATCGACCCCCCCCCCCCCCACGATTATATAAGGGCCCTACAGCGGGGGGACCGGTACGCCGAGGCCGAGGAGGTGGAGAAATGCCACCATGTCCCAGATCAGCAACGCCCTCGGCTAGACGACAAAGGTAACCGGGGGCCGGGGGCTCCCCGCAATCATCCCAAGGATTCTGCCCCCTCCGGTGATCACCCCCGGCATGGCCAAGCCAAGCCCGGGGGAGGCTACAAGGGGAACCCGAGGGCTT